TGCTGCTGCTGTTGTCATGGTGCCTTCTTTGCAAGCCGTTCCGGCTCCCGCGGCTGGGCTTGGCGCAAGAACGTCTCATCGCCGGGGCAGCGGCAGCAGCAGCGGGAGCGGGAGGAGGACGGGGTGGGGGGCTGGCGCCCAGCTGCTCCATGGCCGGGAGGGATTAAGTTTCCTGGTAGCCTTCGTGTGTTTATCCTGCAGCGTTTCTCTCAGGGCCGTTACTTTAGAGAAAAAGTGCGCGAGGGGGAGGACAAGGGGAGCGCTTGCTCCCCTTTTTGGCTCTCGTCAAAAAAATACGTGCGTGTCGTCTCGTTCAACTCTCCCCTTCCCCAAGAATAATGCACCTAGCGCAAAGCAAAACCCACAGCTGAACTTAGGGGGGAGGACGGGGTCATCCTGGAGAAGCGGCCCGACCGGGTAAGCTGACGGCCTGCGCGCCTGGGGCGGGGGTGAGGCGGAGGGGCTGCTCGGAATGCAGAGCGGCGCAGGCTCCTCCCGGGACCGGCATTCCGACCACCGCGCACTCGCTCTTTTGTTCCCGCCGGGGGTGCCGCCGCCCGCCGCCGCCGCCGATGTGAGGCATTTGGCAAGCCATTGCTTTTTCCTGGGGGAGGGAGAGGAAGGGGGCGAGAGGCGGCGCGCGTCCCTTTTCTTCATCCCCAGTTTTAAAGGCTAAGCTCAGAGGCAAGCTTCAGCTCTTCACAAACAGAGCGCCTAGATTTATTCATGTTTTGCCGCGGAGGGAGGGCGACAGGAGCCTCTTTTCTCGGGGCGCGGCGGCGCTGCGAGCAGCAGCCCCGGGCCTTGCCCCGGTCGGTGCACGAGTGGAGAGTCGTGTGGGGGGCACTGTTGCTTGCAGGCGCTGGCGGGGGCAGGCTAGGCCGCCTGTTGCTTCTTCCGTTTCTTGAGCTGGCTGGCCTGGCAAAGTCCCAGCAGCAGGACCTGCCGGGCGGAGGGGGGCAATTGGAGGAGGAGGGGTTAACTCTGGGTACTCACTTGGCTGCTGGAGGAGCAGATGGGATGCTGGTCGGTTCTGCTTCAGCGCCGGCCTCGGGTAGGAGGGATATTGATGTCAACAAAGGCGCTGCTTCCTCTGGCTGGGTTGGGTTCTCTTCTTTATTATTGTTATTTTTTTTCTTTTTTGGCAAGGAGTTCCTGCGGTCACGCTGTATATCGGCTTTTCAGCCAGGCAGGCAGCCTCCTTCCTACCCTCGTGGCCCGTTTGTGGCCTCTGTGCTCGCAGCTCCCGTCTGACCCTCTTTCCTGAAGCTCTGGGTTTTAAATACAACCCCTTTAGCATTGGGGGGCTCGTGTGTCTGTGTATAGGAACAGGGTTCACCTCTTACTCTTCCTTGCACGATTAGTACTTTAATGGAACAAAGTTGAATTGCTGAGTGAGGACGAGAAAACAGCGCGGGGGGGGGATGTGTCCGGTTTGCATGCGCAGTTGGGTGGACTGGAGGCGACGACTCAGATTGAAGGGAGCATCCACCTTTAGGGAGAGAAGTCTCCCTTGCTTTCGCTATCCTAAATTGAAGGGAGCGAAATGGAGTCGAGTCCTCTCCATTCTCGAACTAACTGAACGTCAAAAAAATCGTCGGAGAAAAGGCAGTAGAGCATTTCTGCGTTGCTTGGTGACCAGGGACTACATACTTAGTTTGGGTTACACATGCCTCAGTAAGGTTGAGCAGCCTCTTGCCTTTCTAATGATGGGGAAAGGCGATGGGGAAGAAAAATGGATTTCCCCCAATCTTTCGTAGCTTTCTTAATAGGTAGAGGGTTTTTTATTTTGTTTTTTTGTTTTTTGGTAATCTGCTTTAATAGCTGCGAGTACACAATTAAAGAGTTGATAATTACTCTAGATTTAATTAGTATGTCAGAGAAGAGTAGGAAGTTACAGATGATGGAGTGAAGTCACTGGCACCATATAGATGCAATCCTGCATTTACATTTCATGTGAATTAATCCTGAATAGCAAACACTCCTGGATTTATACAGAAAATGCACAGCAGATTATTAACACCTGCTCAACCAGTTAATAGGAAACAAATATTAAGACTCTAACCCTGCTTGAATTACCATGTACTACAAAGTTTACTAAGATAAATGATCTTTATCATATATCCTTAAATATTTATTTTAAAAGTTTGGTGGCTGAAAACTGTTTTCCTCACCTAAAGAATGTTGGTGCAGTGCATGACCCTTTTACTGGACATCTGGTTCATAAATGCCTACCTGATACAATAGTGAGATGGTAAAGGCAGTGTACATAGTACTAATAATCACAACATAAATGCATGTATATAGTAGCTACGTTAGCATTAGGCAACAAAGTTGACTCCACCTAAGTCAGTTTCATTTTGACTGTTGCTTTCAAGTAATGCACCATGTATCATAATCAACAAGTTTTTGGAAAATCTCTGCTGCTTTATGGAGATTTCATCACTAGAATGTTAAAACATTTCCTAGGAATAGTGTGTTGCATAAAAGTTGACATAGTTGGCTTTCTTTAAAGAATGGATTCAGAATAATAGATGGGATTTCAGAGAACGAGACAAATACTTTCCTTAACCAGTTTTGTAGATTCCATATGTATCCTCTATAAAATAGAGTTATGCTTCACAATGCTTGTGATATTTCATTTCTGATTTTGGCAATTCTTAATTTAGTTTTTAAAAATGCATGTATGGACCAGCACGTAATAACCAGTATGATATTGAAACTACATGGGTTCTAACACAAGCGCACAGAGACTCTGATATGTTTATATATAGCAATGCACGTTAGTGGTCTGGGTTCCATATAGCATGACATTATCCATATAACATGACATTAGCTGAATATGTCTTGTATTTTGTTCATAATGTTGAACCCTTTTTAAGGAAAGAAGCAATGACCTTGGAGCTATTCTTGATTATTTACCTTGATGTCATTCGGTGCACTCACTGAAAGAAATACTGGCATCTTAATGGAGTTGCGAATGGTATAGTAAGATCTTTCTTTGCTGATGAAAAAGCTGCACTCTAGAATTATAGGGAAATGGTGATAGGCAGTCTAATCCATAAGCAAGTAAAGGTGTTGTTTTTGAATTAACCCATTTTGCATCTAGCTGTTTATGTTGTTTCGCTAGAGTGGAATGTTTTCTACTTTTGCATGGAACTGAGAAGTAGTTGCCATTCTAAGCACTTGGTTTCTGTCCAGAATGTGTTAGAGCTGGTTTATAAGAAGTCTGGATAAAGAAAAAAGGGTATGACTCAGCTAGAGTTAAATCTCACAGAGTTAAAGTTAAGACTGTGCATGTTGGCAGAGCCATCCATAGCATGGATAGGAATATGGAAACTCTTGCTTTCATGTAGTTTCACGTGTGAGTTCTTGCAAAAGCTGGGTCAAGATGATGTTGGTTTGCAGGGAACCAGGTCAAATCTTAAGCAAAATCAGGCCTGTTTCGCAGTTGCATCCGAAGGTCTGTTTGTAGCTTAGAAATACAAGAAGTAGTAGCTTGATGTGGACAGCCGTTTGCTCGAAGTAGTTTCTTGGGTAGTTCATGTTATTTTTTTCATGTCAGCACAAAGTATACCCTTGAAAAATGTTGGCATGGTGAAAGTGATTAATGCAAATCGTTTTGAAAGCATCTTTGCACAACTAACTTACTATAAAGTGACAGTGACCATAGAGTGTGGCTATATTTGCCTTCTGATAGCTAAAACACCGGAGAATGCAAGTGTGATTGGGTTTTGGTTGAATGTAAACAAGACTCATTTTAAGGGACCCTAGTATCAGTGAAGCATAATTGGGTTTAGGCCTTTTTTCAGGGTATCCTTGGAGGTATTGGCTTATTGCTCACATGTAATGAGACCCTGTAGTGAAAGCATGGCGTTCCAATACAGAAGCTTACAGTTTGTCAGGTGTCTTTTGTAACCGTTCTTTCACCAACCAAGACATTGGTTATTTATTTATGCATGTACTTATTCTTCTAAGGGTAATGTATTTGATAAATGTGCTTCTCAAACCTGGTAGGACAGTCACTATTGACATGTTTTCCCTTAAGGAGCTGAAATACATTCTTCATGACCTGGGCTAAAATAAAAATGTTTTATTTTTATAGCACATCTTTGGCTAAAATCAATATCAGGTCTTAGGAAGAAGAACAGTTCTATTTTCAGTATTACTGTAACCTTTCCTTCTAACTCTCTACATGTTTTGAGCAATGTAGGCAAGAGATCAATGATTCTTTTCTATTACAGTTTAATATGAATGATGTCTAGTAGGTTAGCATCTTCTAACACATAAGCCATACTTTAATCTTTAGTTTAAAGGCAGTTATAAGAGGTTTGCACAGCCCAAGCTTGCAGTAATAGAATTCAGATACTTATGGGTTCCTAGCAGAGTATGTTATGGTGTTCATGAAATCAATTGGATTATGTAAATCAACTGCTTAAATATTTTTAATGTGTGTTCTTCTGAGGTCTCATTATTGCTCTCTGATCCTAGAGTGCTGTGAGTTTATTGCTTCGTATAATATGTTATTTTGAATTTATTTAAAATGTGTATATGCTGTTTCTCTCCATGGTTGCTCATTTAACTGAGCAAAATATACTTGGAGCAGTTGCCTGGTCAAATATTTTAAATATTTGATAATTATCAAACAATAAACTAATAGATTTATAATGACTTGTGTCATTGTAAAACTCTAAGTAAGTTAGATGTTAAGAAGTATTCCGAACTACTGAATCAACTATAGTTAAATGCTAATGTTTATAAATATAAATGTTTTCCAGTACTATTTAAAAATTTGGACAGATTTATTTGTCATTTATTTGTAAACAAAAATAGTTCAGTTAGGACCCTTCACCATTGTGCTGCTATCAGATGAATTATGTTGCAATTGGAAAGGACCGTAATCAATGCTTGGACATGGTTTGCTTTGTGGACATTTTGTTGATGTACAAATATTGTCAGATGTGGTCAGAAACCAATGGACTGGGCTGGGCTGGGCTGGGCTGGGCTGGACTGGGAGATACCTGCTCCTGAATCTGTTTGTTCACAGCAGGGAACATGATGTGTTCTCACGCAGTCCAGCTGACAGGCCAGACATCCACTTGGGGCATAATTTTTGAACAGCGCACACACGTATACTGTCCAGTATGCAAGCCTATCAGGTGCTCGATACTTGGATACCAGGAAAAAAGTTCCAACTAAACTCCAGGAAGAACATAGCAAATGAAACAAATGTTGCAGTAATTATTTAATGGATACTTCCAGTGCATTTCACCAGTCTTCACCATGGGAATTTATTAGGACTCTTAACATCTTTTCAAAGGAATATATAATATGATTCTACAACATGTTTTTACCCTTTTAACTCTACTAGTTTTGATTTGTATTAGAACAGTTGTATTTTTTGCCCTTTATAAATGAGGGTTAGGCTTATAATATGAATATAGTTTTACAAGTAACATAGTAATGTTTAATAGAATCATAGTAATTATATGAATTATTTTTGGGTTATGTTTAGATGATATTTGTGCATATTTATTTTTAAATTCCATAGATATGAATACTACACCTTATTGCTTTACAGGGGTGACCAAACGGAGCCTTGCGAGCTGCATGTGGCTCTTTGAATTGATTTTGCTGCTCTCCAGTTGCCACCTAGGACTCCTGCAGGCACCCTCCTGTCACCGTCCATGGGCTCCCACTTGCAGCTCTCAAGCATCTGACATTTACCACAGGTGGCTGTTCCTTGAGCAAGTCTGGCCATCTCTGCTATATTCTTTCAACTGTATCCGATAAAGCAAGGACTCAGTTGTCTACCTAGTTTGAGTCTACAATAAAAACATTATTCCCCATTTCATAACTATTGACACAATAATAAGAGGAACCAAAATAGTGATTTGAAATAATTTTACAGTTTATATCTCATTTCGGGAGGCACACTCTGTAAAATAAAACAAGCTTATTCCAACTTTAGGATGTAATGCTTTGGCCTTCCAACATCATTTGATGGGCTATAAGATTTTTCAGAATCTCAGCTCTGAGGTTCTGTGAACTTGGTGTTTCTTTGTTGAAGGCTGAGCCTCTGTCTTCTTCCCCTGGAAAGAACTGTACTGTGTGCCTTTTTGAGGTTGCAAACTGGCTTGGGAAAGGTAGAAAAGCAGGTACTGGGTGAGGGGCCAGGGGGAATGGCTTACATTGTATCCAGACAGTCCCCCAGCTTTCTTTACTTCTCATCCATATCACTTCATCTATATGGATAAAAATGGTTGTCTAGACTAGAGGAAATGCAGGCTGCGAGGGATGGCCATTGTGAAAATCAACTGCTACTGTGCTGCAGTTCACGCACTGGATGTTTGTAAGCCTTCGGTCTGGAAGCTTACATGTCATGGTGGGTGGGGGACATTGTGTTGTATCCTTACTGACTCAGAGTTGAGATTGCAACAGGGTTACTTTCCTGAGATACTTCATCTGTCCATTGACTGTGATAAACATTGATTAACCATAATATTTACATTATCTTCTCTCATCCGATAAGATTGGCAACCAAGTTGCATTGTTTGGTGAGGGACAAATAAGAGGAACAGCTGTAAAAATGCTCCTTTTAATCCAAGCGTCCTGTGTTTGTTCTAAAAAACGTCTTTCCTAAGCATAGGATTTAGAAAAATAATAAGTTGTACATTGTAATATATAAGTATCGAGTGGGTTGAATAACAATGGCGTATTATGCATAATGGAAGCATGAAAGACCATATTCTTGTATGTGCTTTAAAGAATTTTGTGAAACCTTTGAATAGTTAGGGTTTTTCTTAACTGTTATTCTCATTGAGTTAGAGGGATCTTATGTGACTAAACAGACTTGTTTGAGAGTATCACTAACTGGTTGCAGAAACCATAGGTGTAAATTGGATTCACATTCAAATGCACACCTAAGTTTCAGTGTGGACCATTAAGATCTGCATTTAAAAGTATGTTAGCATTCACATTCTGATTCAACTTCTCATGCATGTTAGCTTTTAAATATATAGCTAGAGCTGGATGGAGGTGGAAATATGAAAATGGGCATGAAAATCTTATGAGATGGCAGATTTGTGTTTAGTTTTGGAATATATTGCATTAACTGTAAAATTTCCCAAATATGTGTTGCTCTGGTAAAGTTAATATTTAATTGATAGTAATATAACTGTATTGCATCTTAATTGTAATAGAATATTTTGCATGTTCTTTAGTAAAGTTTGAAAGAGCAACCATATGTAATAGAAAAAGATTCAAGTTGTTTTCTTTGTAATACGGTGTATTATATGACTTGTTACTAAATGTTATAATTGTATAATGGATTATTTCCAGTGTATTTATATCACGTAATACAGGATATTTTTTGCTTGTTGTTTATATACCATATCTAGTGTATGGATTGGCCAGTATATAGGTAAGCTTTTCCATAGGTGTGCCCCCCGTATGATTGATAGTCCTGTGGCAGGGAAAAGCAGGGCTGCACCCATTTCTGAGTCCTTGTTCCATGCCATTCACATGGGGGAACTGCTAATTCCATGAGGTTCCAAATTATAAGAAGAGCCTATGTATATATGCTTTTTTGTGCAGACGTCGGCTTCATTTGTATGATCACTTTGACTTAAAACGCAGTGGTTTGCTGAAGTTGTGGCAGGTGCAGGCTGGTCACTAGTTGCCTAATTACCTCCCTGGACATGGTTAGTTGTGTCTGAACCTGGGATGCATGGTTTGTTTGGGAGGGAAACAACCCTCAAGTAAAGCATGTACTGTTGTTGGGTTATTGCAGTGCTTCCCCCACCTCCCAAAAAGCCATAACTTCTGTGATCATGCAACCTGCCATTTATGTTCCAAAACTGGGATAGTGAGGCCAGTAGGTATAGCCCCGCTTTCTCTCTCTGGTGATGATTAATTGTGAGGAGTGAACATACAACCAGGCATTCTGCATATCAAAATAAGTTCATATGAATGCACTTAACATTGCGAAAATTGGTAAGATGGGGTAAATATTTGCATTGCTTTTTACCTATCTCCGTTGGATATAATTATATTGATTTGCGTTGATACAGTATTAATTCATCAAGATTCTATCATTAGGTGATCCATGAAACATACTTTACTACAATCCAGGGATCCATGATCAGAGTTGCATTCATAGAATGCTTTCATTAACGGAATGGTGAGAAGTAGTGTTGTCTTACTTCCCTTTTCTTCCTTAGCTGCCTTGATATTCTTTTGGGGCACATGATCCTCCAGAATAGCTCTGGCAGTGACATTAGAGGCTATAGGAGGAAAATGAATTGCCAGTCCCTCTTCCACTTTTGGGAGCCTATGTTAGATTGCATCCCCTCCTCTGAACGGGGTGTGTGCGGGGGGGGGGGGTTTCCTGGAATTGCCGTGTTGGATTTAACCCAGTATATGTATCGTCAACTCCGTTTTCTTTTTGTGTTGTGTATCTTAGATTGTAATCCTGAGGGAAGGGCCTGTCTTGTTTTTTTATTGATTTGTAAGTTGCTCTGGGAGCATATTCAAACTGCAGAACATGGTAAAATGCTTTCCACAAATAATAAATAGTATATAATCATATCGTATTAAAGTAGTGCTGCATAATATAAAGTGACCATATCATACTTGATTTCTTGATTCTAAAGAAATCAAAAGCTAAATGTCATGGATTTTAGGAAAGTCAATTTTAATAAACTTAGAACAGTGATAAGTCCCATGGCAAGTGTCTTTAATAAGAAAAATAGTCCAAGATTGGTGGAAATATTTAAAAAAGGAAATTCCAAAGGCACAATTACAAACAATTGCAACAAGGAAAAAAGGTAGAAAACAACAGAAAAAGCCCATGTCGCTTCACAAAAAGCTTTGAGATTATCTGAAAACAAACATCATGTCTAGAAAGTGGAAGGAAGACCAGGCTACTACGGATGAATACAGGCAGGTAGTGTGGAATTGCAGAGATGACATCAGGAAGGCTATAACTTGGAATGAACTGAGATTAGTGAGGGATGCAGAAAGGAACAAAAGACCCGTCAGATATGTACAAAGATAGAGAAAAGAGATGGGAGTTCAACTACTCAGTGTGGATGGCAAAATGATAACAGATGACAAAGAAAAGTCATGAGAGCTCAATTCCCACTTTGCCTCAGTCTTTTCCCAAAAGAAGATATATGACTTTCCTGATGAAGGAAAAGTACAAGCTTGAAGGAGCAGGATAGGAACTCAAGATTGATAGGCAAATGGTCAAGTATCTAACTGGGTTGAATGATTTCAGATCCCAGTGCCCAGTGAACTCCATTCTAGAGTCAAAGGAACTGGCAGAAGAACTCTCACAACCACTATTATCCTTGAGAAATCATGGAGGAGTAGAAGTGCTAGAGGACTGGAGAAGGGCTAATGTTGTCCCTATCTTTAAGAAAGGAAAAGAAGAAGAACCTGGGAACTACAGATGTCAGTCTGCCATCAGTCCCTGGGAAAATTCTGGAGCAGATTATGAAGCAGCAGTTAGTCTGCACAGACCTTGAAAACAATGCAGTGATTGTTAGAAGCCAACATAGATTTCTCAAGAACAAATCTTGCCAGGCTAATCTAATTACATTTTTTATAGGTTAGCTTCCCTGATGGATTGTGGGAATGCTATGTACATAGTGTATCTTGGCTTCAGCAAAGCTTTTGACAGAGTGTCCCAGGACATCCTGATTAAGCAGCAAGCTAGCCAGAAGTGGGCTAGATGGAGCAATGATCAGGTGGATCCATAGCTGGCTACAGAATCGGGCTGAAAGAGTGCTCATCAATAGCACTTTCTCAGATTGGGAAGAGGTATCAAGTAGCATACTGCAGGGTTCAGTCCCGGGCCCAGTGCTCTTCAACATTTTATTAATGGTTTGGATGAGGAAGTACATGGAACGATTATCAGATTTGCAGATGACAAAAAAACTTCGAAGACAAAGAAGATGCAAGGTGGTCTTGATAGGTTGGAGCGCTGGGCTGAAAGCAACAGGATCAAATTCAATAGGGACAAATGCCAAGTTCTGCACCTAGGAAAAAGAAGCTGAATGCATCTTTAGAAGATGAGGGACGCTTGGCTCAAGAATACGGCAAGTGAAAAAGATCTTGGAATTGTTGCAGATCACAAACTGAAAATGGTTCAACAGTGTGACGTGGTTGCAAAAAAGGGCAAATGCATTAATATACGTATGACTCCCAAATCCCATGAAGTACTAGTTCCCCTTTACTCAGCACTGATTAGGTCTCATCTGCAGGCCTGTGTCCAGTTCTCAGCACCACAGGTTGATTATGGTTACCAGGTTTCAAGCCATTAGCCTTACAGGTGTCATTTTTATAAACAGTAAAATTTTTAGGCTTGTATGATTCACCTTAACTAAAGAACATTCCTGTGCTGCAATATTTAAAGAAAGCTCACTAATATCTTCTTTATTAAAATGAATAGCTTAATAAAAGTATTCCACATTTTGATTAATTTATATGACCACTTAAGAAAATTGGTAGATATAACAAGGGTATTCTTAAAACCTGCTTTTTTGATGTTGGACAGAGAACCTCAGTTCTATGGCCAGATTAGGTCTCTAGTGTGTTTCTCTTGCTCTGGTTTTTCAAAATCCTTACATTGCATTTTATTAATGTAGGTTCTTAAGCTTTTTGCCATGGATAGCGCTGTGTTGTCGAAAGCAGTATGTACGCTGTATCAGTGCCCCTCCACCATGGTGCTAAGAGAGTTTTTGTGATCATCTTCTAGCCAATTAGCACATAACTTTTCTTTTTTGCATAATTATGTAACCATGGCTATGCATGAGGAGCTATGTAATGGTTTAAAGTTCTACCATTGACCTTTAGAAGACTTGTTCAGACTTTCCCCTGGTGTTAGTGATTTTACTGGCAGCAGAGGGATTAGAAACAACAGAACAGAAGCCGGATGCCAAATACCAGATTTTGTTTTTGCATGATGCTCTCACAGATCTTTAGCACACGACATATCCCTAATCCCATGTAGCTCCAGAGTGTTGCTGGAGAAGTGTGTGTTTGGTAGGGTGCCTTACATTCATCCTTACCTTGGCAGCATCGGCTTGATAGTTGTGCATGTTTTTCCTAACAGCGGAGGCAAGAAAGTATGCATGCATGGCTGTGTGTGGAAGGCAGAATTAAATGGTGGCGTTTTCTTTGCGCATGTCTATGAAGAACAATGTATAAACCTGTTTTTTGCAATATCGTGGCCTTCACGCAAAGGATATTTCTCCACCTTTGCCCTGTTGGAAAGCTCTTTCCTTGTGAGGTCCAAGCTATCTGATGAATAGCCTGGATATTAATGTTAATTCCAGCAAGCCTTGAAAAATGCCATTGCTGCACTAACAGCTACAGGATAAAGCCTATTACTGCACTTTCTATCTTTGGCATTGCATGTTTGCTAATCTGGTGCCATAAGCCCTACAGTTTGCAAGGCATTTGTGTCAAATACATTTGTGAAATATTAGAATGCTGATTGTTGAAGCACTTGGAAGCTTCTGGTTGTAAATGGTATACTCAGAAACAAAAAAAATTCTCAGCTAATAGAGGAGTCTTGCAGGACTAGCATCCTTTTATAAGATATGCTTATCAAATGGAATGGAAATGAATGGAAGTGGTATACAGGGGGCCACAACAGCTGCAAAGTCCAGGCTCATGATCACCTGAGGACCCACAGCAGTCCTGTGCTAAAATCCCTGTGTACAGTTTGGTTCTGGTTAGGACATACATTGTACTTTCTGGACTTAGGTTTTTGATTCACTTACAGAATATTTTTGAGAAAAAAGAATCAAAGTGTTTTCAAAGTTCTCCATAGACGATGTTTGCCACCGTGACCGTGCTCACTGAGAATGATGGGATTTGTAGTTCCAACATGTGGTGGGTGCCAGAAGGCTGGCCAGTGGGGATCTTGCCTTTATCCTCCACTATTGTTTTCCCAGATCCTTCTTTTTCTACCCTTCTTTCTGTCATATCTTCATTCTCTAATTAACCAGGGGTATTCTCTTTTATATAATATACAACAAACTGGTTTTGCACGCTCACTGTAGCTTACATCATGGTAAGCTTCAGCACTGGGGAATCCCAAATTGGTAAAGCTGGCTTGTTAGGGTGGTTAATAAACTATTGCACAACCCTACAACAGGTCTATGGGTTCTCTGTGGTTTGTTAACCACTGCAACAAGCTACCTTCACTGGTTTTGGATGACATTAAGACAGCATGTGACTGGCACACACAGGGTTGTTAGCAGGCCAGTACAGCTTGTTAATCAACTTTGTGTTCTGAAAACAGGCCTGATATAAAGATTAAATTGACAAGTTTAATTGAAAGTTAAGACTTTCTGTCACGGTATAGAATGCGACGGCCCTTCAATCTCACACAGCGTAATGGCAGACTAGCATTGCAGGAATACTACAGCTGTATAAATTTTTGGGAAAGGATTGTAAATTAGCTTGGTATAGCTCACTTTTTCTGTAAATAACACATTTGTACAGAAATTAGAACTTCTTGAATGGCAAGTGAATGGATTCTGCTGTAACTGTCAGGCTTGACACAATTTTGACAAACTAAGCAATAGTTTTGGTTCATATTTTTAGATCAATGTTTTTAAAATCCCTGTCTTCTCCCTTAGTTCTCTTGTATGAAGAACTTGTATTGACAGCCATTCGGTGAAGTGGAAATTAAGCAAGTGAAAGCCATGTTGGAAATAATAGGTAAGAAATGATACTGAAGCATATTTTCTGTTTAATCCTATGCTTGTTTAATCAGGAAGAAGTCCCATTAGATTCATTGGAAAGTACTTCCAGGTAAGTGAGCATAGATTTGCAACCTTAGATACTTAACAAGTCAGTTTTGTTTTTAGGCTAAATGTTAAGGTTCCTATTAGAAGCTCAGGTTTTTTGTTTTTTGTTTTGGTGTGATTTATATGTAACTAAAACTACAAACAAGTCCTTCTAGGATATTGCTAACTGCAGGGTAGTAAACAGTGCTACCAAATTTCAGCCATCTGGCTTTTGCAGTTTCCTTTCTATAAACCACACATACAGTGGTGCCTTGGCTCACGACCGCCTTGGTTCACAACCAAATCAGGTCATGAACAAAAATTTCATGAACATTTTGACTTGGGTCGCAAACTCTGCATTGGGTGGCAGCCAAGATCGCGGCTATCTCCCCACTCCCTCGAGTAGGGAGATGGCCACGATCGCAACTGTGTTCGTGCAGGGAAGACATAGAGGAGCTGATGACAGAAGCACTTGCTGAACTTTCCAGAGTGAGCAGCAGAAGCACTTGCTGAGGAGGATTCCACTGAGGAAGAGGAGGACAGGGAGGAGGTTAGCAGTAATGTGATGCAATCCATTATGAAGAAATTGAATGAGTGCCAGGATTTCTTTGAGAAGCACCACCCCAACTTAACTGTAGTGAACAGAGTGTTGAATCTGGTGAACGATAACGTGGTCTCTCATTTCCAGAGGGTTATCCAGCGCAGGAAAAAAAAGTGACTATAGACAGATTTTTCACCAAAATTGACACTGCAGCTAAGAGACAAAGAAGAGAGGAAGCCCCTGAAAGAGATCTCCCCAATGTCCTTATGGAGGGGGACTCTCCCTCTAAACAATAACCTCCCCTGCACCTAGGTTAGTGTTCTCCACTGTACTGCACAGTACTTTGTTACTTTGTTGTTCTTTGTCACTTTGTTTCAAATTTTTCTGATTAAAAAAAAATAGTTACAAAACGGATTAACTTTATTTACATTGAATCTTATGGGGAGATTTGACTTGGGTCACAACCAATTTGGGTCACAACCAGAGTTGTGGAACAGATTAAGTTTGTGAGCCAAGGTACCACTGTATTTGGGAGCAAAGGTACTCCCTGTATCTGCATAACAATAGGCCATAGGTGTACTTAGGGGGCAGAAAGGAAGGTTAATTACAGGTCGTTTTGTCTGTTTCGAGTCCCAAGAAGAGGAGGGAACCATTCTTTCAGGCCAAGACAAGACAAGCCAAAACTGAAATTCTCAGGGGGAAAGCATTTTTAGGTTGATGGGTGGTTGGTTGGCTAAAGCTTTATTATGTTAGTTGTGTGTTACTGCAGGAAAGATTCACTTTACCTGAAATTACCTGTACTAGCTGAAACCTGAAATCTATTGTTATGCTAATTGTATATGGTAATTAAACCCTACCAGTTTTGTGTCTGGGGTACAAAAATACCCCAGGAACCATGAATTTTAGTGTTTTTTTTTTAATGCAGGTTGTTAATGATGTTAAATAACATTTCTGTGTGTTGATCTAAATTAAGGAAATATGCATGGGTTATTGCATGCATAAAATCAATAAATGGTTTATTGCAGTGGAGCCTGAGCAAAGGAAAAGGTTGAGATTCATTGTCAAAGATTGCTGCCAAAGTTGGAAAGAAAATGGAGCAGGTTATGGATAGGTTGACAGCTGGGCCTCATGTAGGCATGGAAGACCAAAGGAGAAGGACAGCATATGTTTTGTCTTGTTATGGTTTATGTTGCTGTTTTTGTGAGCTGCCCAGAGAGCCTTTGGACTATGGGGCAGCATACAAATGCACTAACAAATAAAGAAACAAATGATAGCCTGTATTCTAGACAAGTGCTTGGCTCCCTGAAAAAAATCTGTTTGGTTCTCCACTATGGGCTGAAAGCAGAAAGGAAAAAGCAGTCGTGTACCTCTGTCATTAAGTGCAGCTTCCATTGACTTTATTTTGTGCTAGGAAAATATGGAGAGCATGTCCTGAATTCTGTTTAATGATCTCTTGTGGAGATAAAATGGTGCTCTTTCCCACTTTGAGAGCTGATAATGTGTTGTCCCTGCCTAACAGAATATAAACTATTAAAAGCACTAACAATGAGTTTTCTTTCAGATACTCACCGGGCCCTCCAGGCAGTGGAACGCCTGCAAGCAAAGCTACGGGAAAGAGGAGATACAGCAAATGAAGAGAAGTTGAGTTTACTGAAATCAGTGTTGCAAAGTCCTTTGTTCAATCATATCCTAAATCTTCAGGCTTCTCTTCCACAGTCAAGAGATCAGGTAGGACAGAAGCAGCTCAAGAGGAAATGCTGATAACACTTGTCAAATCTTTGTATGTGGTACCACTGATAATAACTGGCATACCAAATGCTGAGCAGTAAAAATGAATTGTTTGATTTCATTCATTTACATTTTTTCTATATTCCAGATCTAGGCACCTTGCAGGGTAATGAACAGTGCAAATCCAAAACTGATAAGAGAATAAAAACAATACATTAAAAACAAGATAACATTAAAACTGTGGCTGGTCAGCAAGAAAGGCTTCCTGGAATAAGGATTTATTCAGCAGACACGGAAAGCAAGACCGTGTTGGTGCCTATCTTGACCTACAGAGGCAGGAAATTGCATGGAAATGGGACCACCACATTAAAAGTTCTTTTTCTGGTGGACTCCAGTTGAACCATGGGTCTGTGTGGAACCTTCAGGAAAAAGTCCTCTTAACAACCTTAGTGGCTAGGCAGATGGGTAAGGAAGAAGGCTGATGTACTTCTAAGTATCTTCCAGTTGCTCCCACAATTTGTGGAGCATGATTAGAAAGATCCATCAAAGTCCTGTTACTGCTTTTCTTCCTCCCTTTATCTCCCACTCCCACTACCTGTAGGCATTTAAATGCTGCATCAGGTGTAGGACCTCCAAATTCAATCATCTTGCAATCCCATGTCATTGGCGGGATCAGCCAGTTCAGCAACTGAGCCCCAAGCACCCATGCACCTGTTCTAAGCCTGCCAAGGATGTGGCTCCGGCTGATTGCTTGTTTAACAGTCTTCTTCCTCCTCAAGATCCTGTTTGTGACACCAATTGCATCTTGCCAGCTGCAAGAGGTTCTTTCTGTTTGGATCTTGAAACAGTAAACAAGCCTATGGATGAAGATTAAGTAGTTTCATCAACAAAGCCAAGTTAATACAACACATTTTTTCCATCAGTTTCAAGGAGGCAGAAAGGATACATAATAGAGCATACAGAATTACCAAGCAAAACAGTTTGATTCTATGTTCAGTCACTGGGAACCCCAGAAGCGCAGCAGTGGAAAGACCCCAGGCACAGCACCTCCACGGTTAAGGTCTGTGTCAAGGTTCATCCCCTTATGACAAACTCAGAACTTACACACATGCATTTCAGGATGATCTCATAAGCACACCTGGCATCCACGGTCTGCTTATCAGCCTGATAACAGATATTAATGACCATCCGCTTGTGCTGTACTGCTTTCTGCCTCCCTTAAGATAAGTTGAGGCGAGTGGACAGCAGCCAGCTTCATCTATCTGGGGGATCCTCCCGCATTCCAGCATCGCATACTCTTTTGGCAAGCATTTTAAGTTCACTAAGATACCAGCACCTGAACCTCATCTAGATGTTCTGTCAGAAATCCTCCACCTAAAGATGCAGAATTGGGAAGAACAGTTTGGGATACGTCAACTATCCCCTCAAGGCATAATCATTCTGCTAAAGCCAATTTCCACACAGGTGAGCAACTTGTGGCCTTTGAGATGTTCTTGAACTGCATCCTTCTCTCAGCTCTAGCCAGTGGTATGGGATGATAGGATGGAAATGAAAACAAAATCTGGAGGGCCACAGGTTGCCCACCTCTAATAGGCCAAAAATAAACTAGCTTATTTCTGAATAATGTTCATAGGATCTCACCATTATGCTCAGTTCAGATATAAAGCCAAATCATCATTAAGGAAGCTAAATACAGTTTGGTGTAAAAAATACTGTTGGATCCAGTATTCTTCTTGGTGGACCTAGTAGCTACTGTTTTTGGGACTGCTTTTGGCTGGTGTTCCAGGTGCACACCTGTCTGGGGAACATGGATTTTGCCAAAAGTGATTCCTACTGTAATTACCTCTGGTTTGGGCTAATGTAATCCATTCTTCATAAGGTTTTTCTTGAAAAGTGCTTGGAAATGAGGTACCCAGACTTGCTGGCTTGTGCTTCAGAAAGCATATACCACTAGTCTTGAACCTGCACCTAGTTTGTTTCCAAACATTTCAGGAGGAAGAGAGGAGTGTGTACAGTGTGCAAAGCCAAGGGTCATTGTGGGCTGCACACAGCACATTAAGCAATGGGTTAGAGCCAGGCCCTGTTGCAGCCCAAGGGCTGACTTCAATTTCAGAGAAGTGCTTGATGGCTGCCTTCCAAAGGTGGGTGGAGTGGAAGGCAAAGAGGTGGTGTTTAATATCCTAAATACTAGTGTATGTTAGTGTAAAGCTCTTACTGTCAGTAATTGAGCCTCAGGAGAGGCATTTAAACCTTTTAGAATAGAGACAAAATTGCACAACAGCTGGGAACCACCGTATGGGTTGATGAAAAGGGCAAGAGGTTATGGCCTTCTGGGGAGCCTTGGAGGGGCACATTCAAACTCTGGTCCTTAGGTTCTGTATCCCTGGGTTAGTGTGACTTGCGGGCATGTAGATGTACTCAGTTCCTCCCATTGGCATTGTCCCAGAAAACATGTGTACTTAGTGAGTTCATGCTCAAACAAATACTATATTTAAGAAGATAGTACTATCTTCTTAAAACAATACTTTGATGTGTACTTTATTTTATTTGTGTTTGTTTTGCAGACATTAATTCATTATTTGATTTGGTGGGTGTTATTCGAGAGCTTCTAAATTTGCAGTGAAATAGTGAAATGAGTAAGGATCACCTATCAGCTTTTGTGCTAGTGAAAAACCATAACAAACAATTGATGTTAATTCCTATTCTGTGGCCCGTTTGTACATAATACCAACACATGGTGCCAGGTCACCTGGCAGATGATTGAACAAATGGTTGATTGTTTACTTAGTCCTGTAGTATTGTCATCCATATGAGTGGTATTTTAACCACTTGTTCCTTCCATCTTTGTAGCCTGCCCAAAAACATCACCACCACCACCACCTCATGGTTCTGGGCTTCAACATAGCAACTAACAGTTTAATAATCCAGAGTTCTAAACCATGCATTCTCTTTCTCAATTCTTCATGGTTAACAAACCATAGTTGGTTAGCATGGCTGTGTTTGCCCACAATGACAATCCAGAATTCAACAACTCATAACATGGCTTAGTGTGATACGCAAACCATTGTGACACAATACTGAAATGAATTTGTGATCTGGCTGTTAACAGGATTTGCTGAAAACTGAATGGGAAGTAAGGGTCAAAAGAAATGTGAAACACTAGAATTCTTGGTGCCTTCATTCAAATGAGTAAAATACAAATGTGTGTTTCTAGTAGATTATGGTATGAATACCTCTTTGGTTTACATTTAAAATATAGGCCAGAGAGACTATTATTAGATCTATACATGCAGTTAAATCTGGTGCACTGAAGCAAGTAATTGTAAGGCAAATCTAGTGTAAAAGTAGCATTGCTCCTCTATATCTCAGCCATTAACCACCTTTTGAAGAAGTAGAAACATTTGAATCTTTTACTTGAATTTCTTGGTTTGATTAGAGGAAATCCATTTTTGCATATCTGCGTTTAAACATAATTATTCTATTCTGAGCCCTTGCTTTCACTATTATAGTTTATTTTTCTCTGTTATCTGCTTTCTGTTTCCTTTCTGTGTGCATTTTTGGGCTTGTTAAAGTTTTAGCTTCAGGACAGTTCCCTTTTCTGCATGCTGAGGGGCTGGAAAAAATCAAAGATTAATTCATTTATTTACTTAAATTGTTCAACTTTAGTATTGATGTTCTGAATGCTTTATTACCTGCGCTCAGATGCCTAATGATAGGTGCCATGTAAGCCTTTTCATTAAAATAATCGAGATTTGTTGCTTATGTTGAGAGTTTTAATTTGCAAAGTAAGCAGATAAACGGAAGCAAAATCCCCACAACTAAAACACTAAACTGAATGGAATCAGTGCTCCTTTTCAGAGTGAGAAAGTGGTACCCTGCCTTCAGCATTCATTTGCATGTCAGCATACTAATAGCACACACATATTTTTCCTCTGAGAATTGCCACTCTTTATAGGCTGTCCGTTTTTTAACTCTAATGCCACAGCAAAGCCCGGTGTTTGAAGATAAGCGAACCGCAAAACATTTGAAAAAACTATGTTCTTGTGCTATGATGAAGAGTCTTAATTTAATTTTTTTGTATAATTTCAAATATTGAAAAACTAACCACTCTGTGCTGGCAGCCCAGCCTTCACTCTGTCAGGGTTCTTTCCCCCCTCCTCCAACAGAATAGCTCAAAGCTGTTCTGATGAAGAAAAAAAATCCCTCTCCTTGGCAGGGCTACATTCTTCAAATATTTTTCTTAGAAGTTCAAAGATGGGTTGCACAGAGTGGAAAAGTACTAACTGCAGTCTACGGCCTTGCCTGTCCTCAAGTCCCATTCCCACTTCCTTTGTCATTTCTATTACACTTTTAATTTGTATATGTGCAGGGAGTGGGAGGCTGATTTAAGGTCTAGATTTAGAGTTGCACTGGATCACCATTCCATGTGAAACAGGCTGTAGAGTTGTCACTGCTGCTGCTTCCTACTCTGTTCACAATCACTCTTGCAGCGCTTGTCTTGATTTCAATTTTGAAATGGAAATGATAATAATTAATACTAATGTTTTGTTACAGGGCACTTTGGAATTGGAGTCCCATCCATTTCAGCTATTTAACATTAATTCGTTGAGGGTCAAATGAATCAAGATGGAACATACCACATCCCTAATACAGTGTGCATGTGTGTGTGTGTGGGGGGGGGTGGGGGGGAGAGAGCGAGCAATTTAAAGTGATTTACAGCAACCAGAAGAACCCATCTGTAGCAGCTTCAAACTCTTTCTCCTCAGCTCCTTTCTTCCTGGCACAGTTCATTCTTGTTTCAGGAACCACGGGCAGAGTAATGGTTGAGGAGAAGTGCTTTCAGGCATAAATTGTTTGCAGGGAAAAAAAAGATTCAGCATCTTTACTGTTCTTTAAACCTACCCCTGCTTTATATGAGGCTCAGCAGCAGACCTGCTTTAGCCCTGAATGCTCAAAATTAGGGTTGGTTTATACATGGTGGCACCATGTGTAGGTTGCTG